TAGAAGAGTGGGTAGTTTTATGTAGTTTTTTTCCTATAAATATTTGCCTACAAATAGCCATTCATGGCTACATTGTTACAAGATCCACCAACTCAAATCAAAGACAATTGATTTATTTATTTTCTTGTCATTTATATTTTTTGTATTTTATTTTACACACTTCCTTTTCGAAGCATTTATTTTCAACACTTCAATTTTGAAGAATTTTATGCACTTCATTTTCAAAGCATAGGAGTAGAGGTAAGTAATTGTTACTTTGATTGTTCACTTCATCGTCTTTCTCTGTCTCCCTCATTCTTCTTTTAATTTTTTTTTTCTTTACACTTAGTAATTTTGAAGTCCTCTTTGTTGAGGCAAAAGAACCGTTAACGCAATCGCTTGATAATTGACTTGAAATTAATCTGTAAGGATTTTTCAATCCTTACTGGCATGCTAGCACTTATGATATTTTCCTTTGTAGGAAAAAATAAGCCAACAATTACGTGTTAAAAATATATTAAAAATTTATAAATCAAATTTATTTTAAATATAATTCACACAACATTAAATTTAAATTTAAATAGTAAGTTCAAATCTTAAGCACTTGTTAAATATTATTTACAAATACATAGCATTACCAATAATTAAAAAAAAAAGGACCAATAATCTTATAACCAGAATCTATTTTTATCATCTTATCATATCATTTGATGATGTGTTAATCTAGTAGTAAAATCTTCATATTAATATCGTATAAATAGATAGGATAATAAGTATAACATGATGTAAAAATAAAGTCCGGTTAACCTATACTTTAAGGCCTGTTTGATTCCAGGATATAAAGGATGTGATTGAATATTATATGTTGTGGGATTCACATATTTCATATTTGTAATTTTTTTTTGAAGAGGATATAATACACTATAGGATTGTATATCATCCAAAATTAGAGGATATACAATACTACCATCCCCCATTATATCATATCCCCTAGGTTGGGATATGATTTAAAATGTCCAATTTACCCTCTAGTCTATCTAATATAATATAATATAATATTTGAATTTAGTATAATATTGTACGGGGAAGAAATAATTTTTCTCGTATAATCTTGTTGACTAAGTCCACGCTTCTCCGTACAATGTCGCTTTGTCACCTGAAAACACAAACGTGAGCTAGCCGGCGGGTGTGTGCCGGAAACCTCTCCAATGCCTAAGTCAGAAAACTTGACAAATAGACAAAACTCAATGTATTCGAGAAGCAAAATTGTATGTTGTGTTATGTTACCTCTTCCAAGGTGATGCTTGTGAGCTTTTATAGGTTTCGAGTGGCACAATCCTAGTAGAACTGTTATTTCTCCATGCAGAGTCTTCCTAGAATTCATACTCCTAAAGGATAATGCATATCCTTTTACACCCCCCCACTGCGTAACCAAGTGGGATGGTTTTAACTACGGCCGAACTACTATTTAACCGAAGTAAACTGGCTAAGCTGAGCCACGAGGTAGGCCGAACTATCCTTAGTTCGGCCCTTCCTTTCACTCCTCATCTCGGTTCTCCCATGCATGAACCATGATATATTGGGACCGAGCTACCGAGTAGCAAGGTCTTGACCAATCTATCCAGAATACGTCATGACCGGACTAACTCGGAGACCGGACTAACTCAAGTTGTCCAAATCGAAGTAGCTTTACAATTCCTGAGCCGAAGTAACTTTATTTCTCATGGGCCGGAGTAACTTCTCGGCCCATTTTACCTGGTCCTTCGTACTTTGGGGCCATAAAGTCCATTTCATAGTTCGACCCAATTTTCACAAAAAATTACCCTCTCAAATATAATATAATATAATTTAATATAAATTTTGAGTTTAATATAACATAATATTATTGAATTTAATATAATTTAATATAAATTTTGAGTTTAATATAATATAATATTATTGAATTTAATATAATATAATATTATTGAATTTAATTTAATATAATTTTTGAATTTAATATAATTTTTTGAATTTAATATAATATAATTTTTTTATCATTATCAGGTTAACATTAATATAATATAATTTCTTTTTTGTTTGGAAAAATTATTGAATTTAATATGAATATTTAATTATAAAAAATAATATAAATTTTTAATTTATTTATTTGCATTAGTTTTGAATTTTGAATTTGTTTATTTGCATTTATTCCAATACGGGTATTTAAAATATATTATGAGGGCAATCTTGAAAATTATTTGTTTATATCCCACAATATATTTTATAAAATAAATATGGATAATATATATCTAGTCTTATATATCAAGTTAACAAATATAAATTGGGGGATATATTATCTAATACATATATCCTATTCATTATATGAAAAAATAAATATGGAGAGAATAATTGACAGAGCAAACAAGCTCTTTGTTTTCAATTATATTAATCCTTACGGGAAGACTCCATTTTATAGGAGTGATTATACAACATTTGCAAGACAATATAATAAAAGGCTACTAGACAACATAATGAAAGGCAACAATCATAATTAAAGGCACAACATATAAAACTAAAAGTAGCCGAAAGGAAATGGCACTAACTAAAGCAAATTGCACTATCTAAGGCATCTGATGACTACTAATGACACACAAATATAATATATACATTATATATATTATATATTATTAATAATGAAAAAGAAGCTTGATTTCAAACATTATATATCCTGACTAAATCCCACATCATATTACATTATCTATTTTATATCCAGTAAAACAAACCGGTCCTAAAAGTAAAAAAAAGGAAGATAATATATATATATATATATATTTTTCGAATTCGGTATATTTTTCACTCATTTTAATTTTTCTTTTTACATTTTTATTATTTTTTATACAAAAAAATATTTGTTAACATTTGTTATAAAAATATTGGAAGAGTAACATTATTGGTTGAGGGTAAAATTGATTTATAAATGGTGGAGACAGGCTGCAAAATCGGCAGGCAGCTTTTGTGCCTGTTTGGCAGAAATTATTTACAGCTTATTTCAGCTTTCAGCTTAATTTAAGCTATTTTGATGTGTTTGGTTTAGCTTATAGCTTATAGCTTATAGCTTTGTGGAAGTCAGAAATCAGCTTATTCTTTGAGTGGGGCAGGAGATGCTTTAAGAATAAGCTGGAAATCATCTTAAGCTGAAAGTTATAAGCTATAAGCTGTTTAGGCATAAGCTATAAGTACTTTCCCACAGCTCTACCAAACAGGGCTTTTATAGACCAAAGCAGCTAGAAAGTGAATTTATTGGGGGCCTCGGCATCTCCAACTCAATTCTTTCACCAAGTGGATGGGAATAATTTTTTTTATTCAAAATATAAATATAGATTATGTTATTATTTATTTAGGGATTGTTTGGGATGACTTAAATAAGTGTATTTTTTATCTTTTTATGAAAAAATATACAGAAAAGTAGAGAGGTGATGTGATGAAAAAAAGATAAAAAGATGAATTATTTTGTGTATGCCAAACTTGGCCTTAAATCTCAATCACAAACCTTCACAATCCTTCATTTTCTTCTGGATTGGATGTCACCAGACGTCTGGCCGATCAACAACAAATTTTTTTTTTTTTAAAACTTGTTGGGCATTTCTTTTAAAATATTAATCATGATTTTATTCTCTAAAAATTTATCTCGAAAATATTTTCATCAAAAAGTAATTTTTGTTCATTAATAAATATTTAATTTTAAATTTTTTGTAAAATATATTTAATATTATACTCATTTTTAAGGTATGATTTCATACATTTTAATGATGCCAATTTTATAAAAATTAAATTTACATATTAAAAGTTATTTGTAATATAATAAAAAATATGAAATGAATAGTATTTTGAAGGGAGTCCTCTATTTTTCATCTTCTCTTCAAATATGGAGGATCAACTCATCTTTCTCCCAAATAGAAATGGATTTAGAAAATGAGTTGGAAGAACAAATCCTTCGTATTTGAAATTATGAAGGTTGTATTAGAGATGCTGTTAGAATGAACTCAAGTTTTAACCCACCCAACCCACCCATTTCTCCTTTGTTTTTAAAGGTTTGTTTGGTAGAACATTAATATGGAAATATCACAACTACGAATCCTCTAATTAGCTTTAGGCATGGTCCCCTATGGTAAGTAGATAAGGTAGATGTTATTCAAGCTGCATTGCATTGATCAGTTAATTATATGTGTAGCCTCTCTGCAATAGATATTAACCAGAGAGAGAGAATGCTGCCATTTGTTATGATTAAAAGTAGCAGGAAGAGGCTGGATTCTCTGTTAGAATTTTTATTTATTTATTTCCTATACTGGTTTCAAATTGTTAGTTAATCATTCCAAAGATTTCTCTAACTTGATCCTAGAGGCTTGAGAGAGTTTTGCAATTGAAGACAAAAGAGATTTGGACAAAACAACCATGCCTAGCTTCGTTTTAAAGTAAAAAAATCTTGAATAAAAAAGCCATTGGTAAGAGTCGAGTGGCGAGACTAGGAAAGTTGGAAATCATATAATTGCAAGTGTTTATTTCATGATGAATGATTGTTTGAAAGAGTTACATTAAAATATTTTTATTTCAAATTTTAAAATAATTAAGGGACATTTTAAAATTTCAAATAAACATAATAAGGCCTTATTGGAAAGCTGAAATTTAGCCAAAAATTCACTATAAAAAGTTAATATTATCTCTACTTTTTTGTACGTATTTTCGTAAAAAATAAAAACACTATCTAAAAAAGTTAATTCCCATACCAATCCTAAGTATAAATAGTTGATTTTGAAATTTAATGATTTATTACAGTATTACATATTCCGTGTTTATAGTGTTATTACAAATTAAATTTCATACAACATATTAGTAACTTGTAATTTTTTTGTCACTATTATTATTATTATTATTATTTATTTATATATATATATGTTTTTGGACTTTGAATACAAAATCATTTGTATGTCAAGCATTTGCATTAATTTCCAATGTGAAAATCATGATCTTCATCAAGAAATTGCTCAATGGTACATATGGGTTGCCAAACGTGGCCTAGCAGTAGCCATCAAGGGCTTGGCCTTGGGCATAGTCATACCATAAACCTCTTTTGTGTCTATGTCCTCAGGCCTTAACCCTTCAGGAGGAGCCCAGTCAAAGCAATGGAAGAGTCGAGCCAAAGCCATCAGCACTAGCATCACCCCAAGAGGAGCGCCAGGGCACTTCCTCTTACCGGCACTAAATGGTAGTATCTTGAAGTCGGCTCCGTGACTTATCTCAACTCGGCTCCCATTGGCTAGTAAGTGCCGCTCCGGCCGGAATTCGTTGATGTCATTCCACACCGACGTGTTTCGGCCGAGACCGTGGGTGTTGATGAAAACACGTGTCTTGGCGGGAATATGATAGCCGTTGATCTCGGTGGCACTTGTGGCTTCGTGTGGGATGAGGAAGGGTCCGGCTGGATGCATGCGGAAAGTTTCACGTACAACACAGCGTAGGTAAGTAAGGTGAGGTAAGTCATATTCGCAGACCATTCGATTAGGGCCCACAGTAGAATCAAGCTCCTTTTGGATCTTATGAAGGACACATGGATGTTTGATGACTTCGGCCATTGCCCATTCATTAGTCACAGCTGAAGTATCGGTGGCTGCAGCTATCATATCCTAAAATGAAAATGTCAAATTAAGGCAAAGTTTGGTTATTCTAAATAAGTATACACTTTTTATCTTTTTTATTTTTTTTTCATCACATAATCTCTCTATTTTTCTGTACATCTTTTCGTAAAAAGACAAAAAGTGCACTTATTTAGGTCATCCCAAACAACCCTAAAATATAAAATTACAAAAAAAAAATGATTTGTTACAATTCACAAAGCCTATGCTATAAAAATAAACAAAACTTACCAACTTAATTTTACAATAAATTAATAGATATCCTTTTTTTTTTTTAGGTAGCCAACACTTTTACAAATATTTTTCTGAAATGATAATAAATAATGATATTTAGAATTAAATTTTTTTTGATCATATATCATATATTATTTTCAAGATTGCTTCGAATGGTAACCAAATAAGGAATATCAAATTCCTTTTTTCTCACCTCATTCATGAATCCAAGTAAATAAAAATAAAAAATAAAAAAAGAGAAAAGGGAACTTAGTTTTGAACAAGAAAATGACCTGAATTAGAGCTTTAATCTCCACATCATCCATGTGCTCTTTTCCATTTTCACCTGGCAAAGACAATAAAACATCGACAAAGTCCATGTCTCCACTATCCTCTTCTTCTCCTCCAATTTCCTTCTTTTTCTTTCCCTTATTTACCCTCCTATGTTCTTCAATGATCTTTATGTGAAAATCATCTACTCTCTTCTCTACTTCTCTCATTTTCTTTTCACACCCATATGGGTCCACCCACCTCCAAAATGGCAAATAATCACCCAAATAGATCAAGCCCAAAAGCCGAAACAACTCATGGGTTATGTGCATGAACTCCATGGCTTCTTGTGGGCCAGCCGATTCGGCCCCAAAATATTGCTTCCCTAGCAACATTCTAGTCACATTGTTCATTGAAAATGCACCCAATACCTCTCTCAAGTTCACCACCTCGCCGGTTTGGGCCCGGGCCCAAACATCTTGGACTAGGTGTTGGGCTTCTTCGGCCCGGTGATTTGCGAATGATTCCAGCCTCTTTGTTGTCAATAGGTGCTCCATGCAAATCCTCCTCATTCGTTTCCAGTGTGGACCTAGTGGAGCCAATGCCACATCACCACACCCGTAGGCTAGATGGACAGCGGCAAGAGTTCGGGGCCGGGAGGCAAAGATGTCATCCTGACGGAGAAGAATTTCACGAATGGTGTCTGGATCGTTGGTGGTGATGGCATCCACGCTACCGAGACGGAGGTAGACTAAAGGCCCGTATTTCTCACAGAAGAAAGCTAGGTCTCGGTGAGGGAGAGGGCCCAATTGGAGAAGGTTGCCCACAATTGGCCATCTCGGCGGGCCTGGAGGCAGCCTCTTAGCCTCTAATTGGGCTTTTTTGGTGAACCATAGAGAAACCATTTTGGAAACGAGCATTACAAAAAGGATTGAAACCAACGTGATTTCTAAATCCATCACAAACCACAGTTTAGACTTGGCTTAAAAAAACTATTTGCTTAAACTTTGATGAAGATTGGCAAAGATCATCAGGGAGTGGAATTTTTTTTTTGAATATACCACAATTCATAGACGAAATAAAATCATCAATGCGGGTTAAGTAGAGGTTATAGGATGATTAGCTATACCACAATCTTGATATGCTTGTGATTATGAATGATTTGAAAGCGTATTTTTGCATTTAGTCCAACATGGCAATCGTTAACTGCGTGATTTTTTGCATCCACATAGGTAAATCAGGAATTTAAGAAAGAAGTTTAACTAGTAATTCGGAGGGTTGGTGTGACACACTTAGTATGATTGTTCTACATATACTCCTACTGCAAAGAAATGGTATTTGCATGTTTTGTTTTGCTTGGTAGTAGATGGAAGTTTCAGAGTCTGTTTGGTGAATTAACCTAGCCAACTCATTCCCTGCCACCCTAAGGTTTGTTTGGATTTTAGATTGTTAATGGAAAGTGTTAGCAGGTATTTTAATATTATAATATGTTATAGGTTGGTTTTCTTTTCTTTTCTTCCTTGTTAAGCCTTCCAAGTCATCTAAGGTCTTGGTCTTAGTCTCCATAACTTATCCACCAATCTTATCTTATCCAAGTCTTGGTCAAGTCCACCAAGACTTATCCATTCCTTGTCTTCATCCGTTTCTTCCCCACCAAGAACTTGTCTAACTAATTTTGATTTCTATATATATATTAACTTATGTCCTATCTTTAGAGACACATAAGAGAGAAGAAGTTTTGGGTTGCTTTTGTTATGTCTAATGTGAGATTATCAAGCAAATAAAAAGGGTGTGTGTGATAAAGTTTTGGGTTCAACCAATCGTGCAGTATTGGTTAATCATACGACTTAGTCGGGCTGCTGTATCCTGAGGGGGACAAGTCAAGGTTTTTTCTGCTACACCGGTGTGAGGCATTGCCTAACCGCAGAGGGCTTGAATCTCCTTAAAGAGAGCGAATTTCCCACACCTCAGCCCTTATATTAATTGTTGTAACTTTTATTTTGTGTATTATCTAGTGTTTTATTTGTAAGTATCACCAATAATTTTAAGGAGATTCAACTAGCAAAAGTTCATGGAGCCAATACTGGAGATGCCCAACGAGAATACCGGCGATCTCAACAAGCCCTTCCGGTTCACGGGAGCTCATTTCAAGAGATGGAAAGGCAAGGTACTTTTCTACCGCAGTCTTCTCAAGATGGCTTATATCCTAACCGAGAAAAATCCGAACAAAGTCCCTACTGAAGAGATGACCGACGAGAAGTATGCTGCTCATCTTGAAAAACTCGAAAAATACAACACAGATGAGTATAAATGTCGATACTATCTTTTGAATTGTCTTTCAGATCAATTTTATGATTATTATGATACTACTTACACCACTGCCAAGAAAATTTGGAAAGCCTTGCAGAATAAATATGACACTGAAGAGACAGGCGCTAAAAAATATGCTGCAAGCCGTTTTTTCGGCTATCAGATGATAGATGGAAAATTAGTAGTGGAGCAAGTTCAAGATTTTCAGATGTTAGTAGCTGAAGTTAGATCTGAAGGCATCAAAATTGGAGACAATCTTGTTGTAGCAGGTATTGTTGACAAACTTCCATCATCTTGGAGGGAGTTCCAGAAGTCAATGCGTCACAAGCAAAAAGAGACGTCCTTGGAGACTCTAATCACACGGATTCGGGTGGAGGAGGAAGCACGAGGACAAGATGCGCTTATAACACAAGAGCATTCCACTGCTAAGGTAAATTTAACTTCTGGAAATACTTTATCTAAAGGTCGATTTCATAAAAATAGTCACTTGAAGCCAGTTAAAAAAATTTAGAAAAATACTGGAAGGCCACAAAATAAAATTACCCGAGGCAAAAGAAATGGAACCAAGAACCCCCTTCACAAGATCTGACAAATGTGACATGTTTTGTGTGTGGCAAAAGTGGGCATATTGCTCGAACTTGTAAATTTCGGAAACAACAGTCTCGACCACAGGCTAATGTTACTGAGGAACCATTTGTGGCTATGATCACAGATATTTTTATGGTTCAATCTGTGGGAGGGTGGTGGGCAGACTCTGGTGCCAATAGGAATGTCTGTTATGATAAAGATTGGTTCAAAGATTTCACTCCTTTTAATGAGGAGAGGACTGTTATGCTTGGTGACTCTAGTTTAACCAAGGTGCTCGGGTGTGGGGATGTTGAGCTGAATTTTACCTCTGGACGTGTGCTTGTTTTAAAAGATGTGTTGTACACACCGTCCATGAGGAAAAATTTGATGTCAAGTTATTTGCTCAACAAAGCTAGTTTCAAGCAGACTATTGAATCTGACCAATATGTAATCACTAAAAAAAGCATATTTGTGAGGAAAGGGTATACCTGTGATGGAATGTTTAAATTAAATGTTGAGAATAAGAAAGCACATGTTTCTATTTACATGCTGTCTTCTATGAATTTTTGGCATGCTCGTCTATATCATATTAATAGTCGATATGTGGGAGTCATGAGTAGTTTAGGATTAATTCCCAGACTAACAAATAAGTTTGAGAAATGTGAAGTTTGCAGTCAAGCAAAAATAACTAAAAGGTCTTATAAAAGTGTGGTGAGAAATATTGAATTGTTAGAATTAATTTACACTGATTTATGTGAATTTGAAGGAATTTTAACACGTGGTGGAAATAGATATTTTATCACTTTTATTGATGATTTTTCAAAATATACTTATGTATATTTGTTGAAAAATAAAAGTGATGCTTTTGAAAAATTTAAAGAATTCCTTCTTGAAATTGAAAATCAATTTGGTAAAAAGATTAAAAGATATAGAAGTGATAGAGGCCGGGAGTATGAATCTTTTGGATTCAACTCGTTTGCTCAGTTTTTGGGAATAATTCATGAAACTATTCCACCATATTCACCTGCATCGAATGGTGTAGCAGAAAGGAAAAGTAGAATTTTAACTGATTTAACAAATGCTATGCTAATTGAAGCAGGTGCTCCTTCAAATTTGTGGGGAGAAACAATTTTAACTGCATGTTATGTTATGAATAGAGTGCTACATAAAAAAATAAAAGTTACACCTTTTGAGTTGTGGAAAGGGCATAAGCCAAATTTGAGATATTTGAGGGTTTGGGGTTGTCTAGCTTTTGTTAGACTTGTGGATCCTAAAAGACCTAAATTAGGTGTGAAAGCTGCCACTTGTACTTTTCTTGGATATGCAACAAATAGTACAGCCTATAGATTTTTTGATATTGAAAACATAATAAGTTTTGAATCAGGTGATGCAATTTTTCATGAAGAAAAATTTCTTTTTAAATCTAAAAATGGTGGGGGTCAAAATTATCAAGAAAATATTTTATCTGAAACCGGTTCCTCTACTCCTCTTTTACAAAACCAAGATCCTATAGTTTTTGAACCTAGAAGGAGTAAAAGAGCCAGAGTAGAAAAAGATTTTGGCCCTGATTATCATGTTTTTAATGTGGAGGAAACTCCATTAACTTTACAAGAAGCTTTGGCATCTCCTGACTCTGTTTTTTAGGGCTGGGCATAGGGTCATCCGACCCGCCCAAACCGCCCTACCCGACCCTACCCGCACAGTTATGGGCGGTTTCGCAAACACATTAGGGTCGGGTGCGGTTTGAAATATTACAAATTTTCGGGTTGCGGGCGGTTGCGGGTTTGAACCGCACCTGCCACAACCCGCCCGCACAGAATAAATTTTTTTTTTTCCCTAAAAAATCTGGACCGTTCATTATTTTTGTTGCCCAACCAAACAAAACCGTAAACCTAATATCATCAAACACACTACAGAAGCAGCTCTCTCTATCTCTTCTCTCTCTCTCTCTCTCTCTCTCGTTCTTCTATCTCTCTCTCTCTCTGTGGCGATGGTGACGGCAACAACTGATTTCCACCGATTTCCACCGATCGACGTCTCGTTCTTCCATCTCTCTTTCTCTGTGGCGACGGCGACGGCGTCCACTGATTTCCATCGATCGACGTCTCGTTCTTTCATCTCTCTCTCTGTGGCGATAGCGACGGTGGCCACTGATTTCCACCGATCGACTCTCGCTCTCTCTCTCCGGCAACTCTCAGGTATGCTTTTGTCTGTCTGTCTGTCTGTCTCTCTCTTCCCGATCTCTAAATTTTCTTTTTTATGTCAGATCTGTTTGTGTCCTCAATCCTTTATCAAGATTTTATAAATCTGTTTTGATATTTGAATCTATTTTGATATTTGAATCTGTTTTGAATTTGTTATGAATCTGTTTTGATATTTGAATATGTTTTGAATCAGTTATGAATAGGGGGGTAATGCTTCTGTTTTTCATAGTATCATGTTTTGTCTGATTTATGGGTTTTAGGTTTATTTGCTTATTTATTTATTAAGGATTTGTGGGTTTTTGGGCTTTTGAATGATTTATCTGCTTTTGGATTTGTGAATTTTAGGTGTTTGTTTAAAGTCCTCAAAGGATGTTGGTTGTGGTGGCCTTGCTGAAATGAATTATGAAAGCCTCCAATTGTGACTCAATACTGTGATGCTTTCCATGGTTATATACCTATATTGCTGCCATTTTGTTATATATCTTACCTAAATTTTTCTATGTTATCCATGTAGAAAATGATAATCTACTTAGTGCCATGTTTTTTGGATTATCTAGGTTTAGAGTGATGTTAGCATTAGGGGACGATCTTATGAGTCTATTGATAAGTTTTTAAATACTTGACAGTTTGTGTAGCTTTGTTAGCATTAGGGGATGATCTTATGGCTGTTAGTTGGTATCATTGTTGCTAAAGCTAAGATGCATTGTTGCTAAAGCTAAAAAAAAGTTCAATCCGCAAACCGCCCGCACATCCGTGAACCCTATCCGCACAAACCGCAAACCGCATTACGGGCGGTTGTGGGTTGACTTTTCCCCAAACCGCATAGATGCGGGCGGGTCCAAACCGAACCGCGGACACCCCTACTGTTTTTTGGAACGAGGCTGTAAATGATGAGATGGAATCATTATTATCCGATAAAACTTGGGTATTAGTAGATTTACAACCAGGTTGTAAAACTATTGACTGTAAATGGGTATTGAGAAAAAAACTTAAACCGGATGGAACTATTGATAAATATAAAGCAAGGCTTGTTGCAAAAGGTTTTAAACAATGAGCAGATCTTGACTTTTTTGATACATTTTCTCCGGTTACTAGAGTTACATCCATTAGATTATTAATTGCAGTGGCTGTAATTCATGATCTAGAAATTCATCAAATGGATGTTAAAACAGCTTTTTTAAATAGAGACCTGGGTGAAGAAATCTATATGGATCAACCTGAGGGTTTTGTGGAATCCGGTCAAGAAAGCAAAGTGTGCAAGCTAGTTAAAACCCTCTATGGCTTAAAACAGCCCCCTAAGCAGTGGCATGAGAAATTTGATTCCTGCATGATTGAGAATGGCTATAAAACGAATGAATGTGACGAATGCATTTACTATAAATCTGAAGAGAATTCATATGTCATTATTAGCCTCTATGTGGATGATTTACTTATATTTGGCTCTAATTTGCATATCATCGTGGAAACTAAAAATATGCTTAGTAGCCATTTTGATATGAAAGATCTTGGTGAGGCTAATTATATTTTGGGAATGAAAATTACCAAAACTTGTGATGGTATATTTCTTGATCAGTCGCATTATGTTGAGAAAATTTTGAGAATATATAATTTTTATAACTGTAAGCATGTTCTTACTCCTTTTGATCCTCATGTGCGTTTATTTCCTATTGAAAATGATGAGGATGTAATTAATCAAAAGAACTATGCTAGTATGATTGGTAGCTTGCGTTATGCGACTGACTGTACTAGACCTGACATTGCCTATGCAGTTGGAGTACTTAGCAGGTTTACTAGCAAGCCTGGCAGTGATCACTGGCTAGCCATTGAGCGTATTATGAAATATTTATCTGGTACCATAAAATATGGCTTGTTTTATAATAATTATCCTGCAGTAATTGAAGGTTACAGTGATGCCGATTGGAATACCTTGTCAGGTGATTCATTATTAACCACTGGTTATTTATTTACCTTGGGAGGTGGTGCTATAAGTTGGAAATTGAAAAACAAACCATTATTGCTAATTCAACAATGGAGGCTGAGCTTATTGCTTTAGCTACAGCTAGTGAAGAAGCAAATTGGTTAAGAGATTTGTTAAATGAAATCTCTTGTTGGGAAAAACCGATTCCACCTATATTGATTCATTATGATAGCACCTCGGCAATTGGTCGAGTTAATAACCGTTATTATAATGGTAAATTTAGACCTATCAGAAGAAAACACAGTACTGTGAGATCTTATATGAATAATGGCATCATAAATGTGGATTATATTAAATCTAGTGATAATCTTGCAGATCCATTAATTAAGGCCTTAGCAAGAGATAGAGTCTGGAATATATCGAGGGGGGTGGGGTTGAAGCCCATTGAATATAGCAGGAGCCACGTATGAGGATACTCAACCCAGGGACCAGAGATCCTGTAACTGGGTTCAATGAGAAAAACGATCATATGATGGCTGTGAGAAATGCACCAAATTACTTTTACCCATCCCTATGATGTAAGTGCATTTATCTTGTAACGTTGTAGAGGTTGAGTTATTAAAAAAAAAAACTCTTAATGAATTTCTGTAGCTCTTATTGAGTGGGGTGTCATAGTTACAGGAGTACCCTTGACAGAATTCACCTATGTGAGTGTGGTAGTGGGGCCGCTACCTATGAGATTTGGGCTAATTCTCAAACACACTCATGAATCTTGGGATCGCATAAGGCTGTAATGTGCTAGCTTTTAAAACTTTTGTGAACACCTGGAATATTATATGTGTGCAATAATTATTTATTTCCCTTAAGTAGTCATAGGTCAATGCTGAGCATACTATTGGCTCTGGAGTAGATATTATTGTTTCACTAATGGAGGTTCACTGTAGAGCACACCTATCATGATGCATAATATCCTTATTTGCCTAATAATCTTAGTTTTTGTTACCTATAATATTAAAATAGGTGGGGGAATGTTAGCAGGTATTTTAATATTATAATGTGTTATAGGTTGGTTTTCTTTTCTTTTCTTCCTTGTTAAGCCTTCCAAGTCATCCAAGGTCTTGATCTTAGTCTCCATAACTTATCCACCAATCTTATCTTATCCAAGTCTTGGTCAAGTCTACCAAGACTTATCCATTCCCTGTCTTCATCCGTTTCTTCCCCACCAAGAACTTGTCTAACTAATTTTGATTTCTATATATATATTAACTTATGTCCTATCTATAGAGACACATAAGAGAGAAGAAGTTTTGGGTTGCTTTTGTTATGTCTAATGTGAGATTATCAGGCAAATAATAAGGGTGTGTGTGATAAAGCTTTGGGTTCAACCAATCGTGCAGTATTGGTTAACCATACGACTTAGTCGGACTGTTGTATCCTGGGAGGGACAAGTCAAGATTTTTTCTGCTGCATCGGTGTGAGGCATTGCCTAACCGCAGAGGGCTTGAATCTCCTTAAAGAGAACGAATTTCCCGTGCCTCAGCCCTTATATTGATTGTTGTAACTTTTATTTTGTGTATTATCTAGTGTTTTATTTGTAAGTATCACCAACAGAAAAAAAATTCAAAGGAAATGAAATTAGTTACACATTGTAATTTTTTTAACAAATAATTTTTCATTATTTTCAAATGCTACTATTTTTCCTCCTTACAGTTCATTTTCTTTTCTTTTCTTTCCTTTTCATTTTATTTTTCTTGATGGCTTGACCTAATAATAAGACTTGCTGTTAGTATTTTTGCTGGTGTAGGTTTGGGTAGTTGAAACAATCTCTCCAAAAATTGGATAAGGTTGTATATGTCTTGCCATTTTCAAAAACCTATTTTATTGAGAGTCTCGTGCACTGAATCTTCTTCTTCTTCTTAATTTATTTATTTATTTATAATCTTGTAGTCTTTTAACAAAAATTCAAGATTGAAACATTCACTTAAGTAGGATTCAGAAGAGTGTGGACTAATTAAGACTTCACTAGACATTTTAGAAATAAATCTTTCTATATAACTATGTTTCATCATCAGATAATGATTTAGAGGATGTGAAACACACAGACACACAAAGCATATGATTTTTTTTTTTTTAATAAAATTTTTGCAAAAACTCCAACAAAAGCCTTAAAACTTTAGAGCCAATTACATATAGATTTATCACTTTAATTATTTTTAGTTTGTGAAAAGAATATAATGTTTAAAAATTTTAAAAAATAATTTACAAACAAAAAATTTATATAGAAAAACTCACAAAAATGAGGTGACAATCAAATATTTGAAAATAATAAAATTATTTTGCTTTGAAAATTAATGAATATAATTTTCAGACACTTAATTAATTATGATATTTAATATATATATAAAACTTACAAACAACAACCACAGTTGGTTCTATGGTCTAGTGGTCAGGACATTGGACTCTGAATCCAGTAACCCGAGTTCAAATCTCGGTAGAACCTCTATTTTTGCTCCTCAAAACTCTCAAATCCGAAATAAATTCTCGATTTCAAATTTTTTGTTTTTTCACAACTCGTACATGTTCAAATCTCTCTCTTTGTGTCTTCGTTTTGACACCAAAAATGGAATCAGAAAGCAAAAAAATCGAAGAAACAGTGATCGAAATCTTAAAAGATGCGGACTTGGAAGAAGCGACAGAGCTCAAGGTCCGAACCATGGCCGCCAAGAGGCTCGGCATCGATCTCTCCGACCTCGACCACAAGTGGCTCGTCAGGCGAGTCGTGGAGTCGTACTTGGTTTCTTTGGAGGAAGACAAAGTCGAAGAACAAACCAAAGAGGTGGTCGTACCAGAACAAGGGTCGAAACACGGTTTTGATTTGAAGGAGGCAAGTGATGGTGGTGAGGATCGGGTCATTAGCAAGGTGAGAGTTGAAACCCTAATTTATGCTTTGTTTGGTTGCTGAGAAATTGCGAGAAAAGAAGAGAAAGTTACAGTAGTTTGTTCATATACGTTTGCTTTTGTTTTTTCGGTACTTGCACTTTAGTTGGGTTCCTATGTTTGATTGCTGAGAATTTGCTAGAAAAGAAGAGAAATTTTTAGTAGCCTTTAACTGGGGTTCCCCCCCCCCCCCCTCGCCCCCCCCCCCCCCTTTTTCCATGTTTGATTGCTGAGAAATTGCAAGAAAGAAAAGAAAACTAGTAGCTTTTTGTTTTCCATTTACATTTAGTTATGTTCTTTTTTTAATTTTTCTGTTGCTTGTGTTTTGCAATTGAAAAGCTTAATTAGTTATAATCAGGCTCACTTTAGGTGGATTTTTGTTTTCTTGAGTGTTATATGATCTTTTGCTTGAAAAAAAATAACTGATATCTTTTCATTTCCTGCATTTTCTTGGAAACCAGACAAACCCAAATGCCTAACACACCAATGTTTATTGGATTTCTTTTATCTTTTCCACCCCTTTGGATTACAGAACATTTGATTTTTATTTTTTTTCTTTAATTATTTGGTATGTACAATGTAGTTAATGAAATAGAGAATTTTAAGAAATGTGCAATAAAACTGATAGCCAACATGAATACTATGAGTATGGTTTGGTTTTGGATAAATTACAAATACACCCCTGAGGTTTGCTTAAAATATAATTGCCTCATATGGTTTGAAAAATTACAAATACCTCCATATCAGAATTTTTTATTTAACATAATTAATTGAAAAAGTGAAATTTTTAACTGTTCGCCTATCCAATAATAAAATTATCTGAATTATTAATTGAAATGAAATTTTAACATTATTAAAAACTGTTAATTAACTTGATGATTTATTAATAAAAGACTTATTTGTTATGAAATTAGAAATCTTAGGGGCATAATGTAATTTCTAAAATCACAGGGGCTAATTCGTAATTTAAGTAAACCTCAGGAGGTGTGTTTGTGATTTATCCTTTGGTTTTTTAGCTGAACGATATGGTTTGGTTTGATTTTTTCGTTATTTTTTGTTTTTTAGTTTATAAATTTAGTTTTGGAGTGTGATATGTACATCTAAGAAAAGCCCTGATTTAAACCATTTCTAAATCTGTTTTGATCTTATGTTACATTGTTATAATGATGATTGTTACTGCTGTTAGTGAGGTTTTTCTGGTTTTCTTAGCTTTCGGAAAAGAGGCGTGTGGCAGTTCGTGATTTCAGAGGGAACACTTTGGTTTCAATTAGAGATTACTTCCAAAAAGATGGGAAGCTGCTTCCTTCTGGTAGAGGTGACATAGGATATCTCTGTTACTATTACTTTCCATCTTTTCTGCTTTTATTTTCATGATCTATTGCTTTGTCCCATTTGCTAGTTTGATGAAATATTCCATTGTAATTGATTCATCATCAGCATTTAATGCGACCATTGAATCTGTTTCCCTTGTTTTATTCTCTAGTTCAATTCAAACTTTATTATAATTGATTTATCGTCAGTGAACCGAGATTTGACATTAAGTATTTGTGTTGTGTGCTTTATGATTTTATTTGATTAGGGTTATTCAATGACATGACAAAATATAAAGTTATATGAGTAATAATGAACCTTGTGCGTTGACCTTTTTCTACTTCTAATTATACCCCAAACTATTTGATTAGACTTCCCGGGTGAAACCTTGGAGGTACTGACTGATCTAATCTATTGGGTTTTGTAACATGGATGATGAGGGTGATAAAGACTTCATTATCTTCTCTTCAAACCATAGCTTGTAGGTATGGACTCTCTCTCTCTCTCTTGCCGTAACGGAGTGATACTACATTATCCAGGGCATCCTATCTATGCAATCCTCAAAACATTGTCTTGAAGGATTCTGGTTAAATCTATGGGATCATTAAAGTGACCATTTGGCTGATTAGACTTATATCTACCAGTATTCTACTCCCACATATCATGATTTTAGAATTGAAATTGAGTTTCTTCTAATTAACCTTGTGTTTGCCTCCATTGTACCCTAAAAAACAAAAAAAATTAACATTGTGCTTTTAGCTGACCATGCTTGTTTTAAACTAGTTACTGTTTTCTAGGATTATGTTTTAAATTCATCATGGAGTCATAATGGTGTGAATCTCCATCTTCCCCCCCCTCTTCAAGTTTAGTTCATTTATGTTGCAGTACTGGGTGAATTATGTTAATTTACAAATTGGCTGTATGGCCTAGTTGTAGCTATTTGCCTCCCCCATTTGAAGAGTAGCACCTTTTAGTATTTGGCACAAGCTATCAGATTGAAAGGGTGGGATTGGTTAGTCTTTGGGGTAAGGTTTACAGTCAATGGTGCCAAATGTTTTGACCATTGCATTTATAAACCATTCTGGTGTATATTCGTGTTCTGCCTGTCATATTATGATAAAAAAAATGATGTATTATTGATTGATATCTGATTGATTTATTGATACATATTCTGTCTATTACAAATGGTTCCTTATATAGATGTAGGTGTAGTGGATGGTGTGTAGTGGATGGTGATAGTGGTGTAGTGGGTTAGGTTTAGTGGAGTAGGTGAGGTGGTAGTGGTGTAGTGGGTTAGGTTTAGTGGAGTAGGTGAGGTGGTAGTGGTGGTAGGTGATGGTAAATTCTAACATATTAACTCCCTCTATTCTGTCATATAGATGGAAAGACATTCCAAAACCATTATTCAATTGAAGATTTCCAGTAAGCAACCAATGGGGAAAATGTTCACTTATTTTCAACTAAAAAAAAAAAATAAAAATCTTTGGATGGAGGGGAACCCCAACCTCAAAACGAGAATGTGTGTTTTAAAGAGTATAAGCAATAAATGGAATGGCCAAATCAACCCTCTTGTCTACTTTCACAGAGTAGGCCTTGGTTGGAAAACCTACTCTTGTTCTACAGGGCTATTCTCCCTCCCTCTCAAAACTTACCTGTTATTTCTGGCAAATTGTCTGATGATGATGTGAGTCTCATGTAGTAAAATGAGAAAATAAGCGATAAACAGCAACACTATAATTGGTTTCAACATTCATTACTCTTAGACGATGATTGTTATCTTCTCCATTAATTTGTATCTAAGAAGCACGGCCACATGACATGACGCCGACATGCCAACATGAAAATTTTCAAAAAATGTAGGACACGACATGTGGGAGACACTTGTAAAGTATATAATTTTATATATTTATTATATGCCATATATAAGGATAAATAATTATTATATATCATGTATATGAATATTTAACTCAAAATGTAATAATTTTTAAAGTCTAAAAGAGGAGATAGGTATAAATTTTATTGCTTTGTGTTTTGTCATTGGATTCCTAATTATTTTATTCAAATTTGTAATGTTTCTTGTGTATCCAAGTGTTGGGAAGCATCCGACTAGTGTCATGTTATGTCGGTGTTGGACATGACACATTACCTTCTTAAAATTACAAGTGCTTCTTAGATTTGTACTAATGCAACTATTTTCTTTTCATTGCTTTTGTGTTCATCATGTTTAGTCTCTTCTGTTCTTTTAAAAAATATCGTTTGCATTTGCTTTGTGTTCAGGAATTAGCTTGAATGCCAAACAGTGGTCTGCCTTCAGGAAAAGTGTCCCAGATATAGAAGCCGCCATTACGAAGATGGAATCACAGAGAAGGTAAGATTAGATTGGTGGCACTTGGAGTTGAAAAGATGTGCTTCTTTTAAATATGATCTGTTATGCTTGGCCTGAAAATTGTTATGTAAGAAAGAAACTGAACTGGTTCAGATGAAGGTTTTTAATGGTTTTCCTGTTTCTCCTATCCATTGCTTGATGTGAATAATCTTTCTGAGGGACCCGAATTATGTTTGAATTTGGTTTTATTTTAGCATACTGCACCTTGGGTTTCTGCAGATAGTCTAATGACTGACTGACTCAGATTGTCAAATTAATGCATTGTAGATCCAAAGGTGCTGGAAAACAAATTGAGGCAGATATGTCAAATTCAGTAACTGCTGTTGCTCAAGAAATCATTCCTGCAGAGACTAAGCGAATTGAAGAAGATATATCTAATTCTGTCGCTGCTTCTGCTCCTCAACATCAAGAACTCATTCCTGAAGTGACTAAACAAAGTGAAACTGATATATCTAATTCTGTGGCTGCTTCTGCCCCTCAATCTCAAGTACAATTTTCTACAGAGACTAAACGAACTGAAGCTGATATATCTAATTCTGTGATTGCTGCTGCCTCTCAACCACAAGGACTCGTTCCTATCCAGACCACTCGTCTTGATGGCAAAAATTACCATTGTTGGGTGCACCAGATGGAATTTTTTCTGAAGCAATTGAAGGTTGCATACGTGCTTACTGAGCCATGCCCAAGCATTGCCGTGAACCCAGAAGCAAGTTTTGAAGAAATTGCTCTAGCCAAAGCCGCAGTGCAAAAGTGGGTAGATGATGACTACATATCCCGTCACACTATCTTGAACTCTCTGTCCGATCATCTATTTGCTCAATACTCGAAGAAAACTAGGAGTGCAAAAGAGCTTTGGGAGGAGCTCAAATTAGCTTATGACGAGGATGTTGGAACAAAGCGGTCTCAAGTCAACAAATATATTCAATTTCAGATGGTTGATGGGATACCCATTCTTGAACAAGTACAAGAACTACATATGATTGCCGATTCTATTATTGCTTCTGGAATGTGGGTTGATGAGAACTTTCATGTTAGTGCCATTATTTCCAAACTTCCCTCATCTTGGAAGGAGTATCGCATGAAGTTGATGCGCGAGGAGTTTCTCCCTCTCAAAATGTTGATGTATCGCCTAAGTGTAGAAGAAGAGTCTCGGAATCGTGCCAAGGAAGAGGTGTCTTTATTGAAGGCAGACAATAAACTTGGACCGAAGACGAGAGATAACAAGGTCATAACCTGCTACAACTGTGGTGAGAAGGGGCATATTTCAAAAAATTGTCACTTTAGGAAGGTTTTCATCAGGTAGAAGAAAAATGAGGAGATTGAAGCAGTGCCGGTAGTTGCAGAAGCTAACACAGTTGAGGGAATTGCAGAGTAGTTGATTGATGTTCATTGCTAACATAGTAAGGACACTCGCTCATGAGCATTTGACGGAGAGCTTTCTCTCAGTGATGGTGCCTGAATGTGAGGATAGAGCTTGTTTCAACCGCTCTCCTCCTTGTAAAGTTGGGTTCAGATACTGTTCATTTCGTGCTTGTAAAGTTCTTTGCTGGACAGGTATTTAAACTTAGGTCATGTATGATAGTTCTGCCATTGGTGCTGGGTATTTTGCTGTATAACAAGGTTAGAATTCCATCCCCAGCTTAAGGATTATCTTTCACTTTTAAGGCCCCCATTTGGTGCAACTTATCGGGGCTATTTATAGTCTTTTGTATTTTGCAAATTTGTGTTAAAAGTGTTTAACCCAAATTTTTTTAATTATAACTCGTGATAAAATCCCGGTTAGGGAATCCACTCTTAAAGAGTAGAATTGTGTTGGGTGTGATCTTAATTCGTCAACTCTTCTTGCTAGCGGGTAATTGTTTATCTGTAGGAGTGGGTTCAAAGGGACAATGCCTTGTATTTGGAGTATGAATTTGAGTAGAGATTTGAAAAGAAAAAGGAAAAGTATGTGTGAAATATAATTATATTTTATTTATATTTTTCTTTTTCTTTTCTAAATTTTTCCTCGAATCCATCTTCCAAAAATAACTTCAAAGAAGTTTCTCGATATTTATATTTAAAAAAAGAAGAAAAGGAAGTGTGATTATACTTGAGCATATGGCAGGTGTGGCTTAATACAAGAGAGTGAAAGTTATCATACAAGATGGAAAATGTTAAAATTCACAGTTTTGATGGTTGTTTTCACATGACGGCTGAATGCAGTGAAAATAGGTGTGAAATTATGTGCAGTCAAAATAGTTGTAAAATAGTTGTGAATTTAGTAAATCTCTGATTTTAGTCAGTCAAAATATGGTGTCCCTCCCGAAGTGTTTTTTGACTGGAATGATGTGGTTAATGTTGTTTCAAACTTTAAAGTCGTGTGATGGGTTTTTTCTGAATAGTGTGTTCTGACTTCTAATTGCATATTTTAGTAAAATTACGTTTGATTTTTTTGACATAATTATATTGAACACTTTAAGATTTTAACTTATATTATAATTAATTATCTTTTAATTAGTAATTTATTAATCATATAGATATCTTTACATTATATGCATTAATTTTAATACTTTAAACCTTATTGAAAGGAATATTGATATTATTATATCTAAATTATAAAATTATTTATATTTTTTCTAAATCTATATATATATATATATTTGAAGGGGGTGTGTGCGTGTTAAATTCACTTCTCACTTGTCAAATACATTTTCTTGTGCACGTGAACCTGATTTTCTTGAACACCACCAATCAGATTAGTGGAGAGCCGTGTGAGAAATCTTTTATCGTGAGATAATCATGTGGTGTTGGAAAATTTTACAAGGAGAATAATGTTAGAAAAAGTTTGGAAACCCAGACAACATCATCAGGATTATTTTGGGTGAGTTATTCGCTGGAGATTAATTTGTTTATTGTGAGATCTATATATAAAATAAATCTGAACTACAAGATGATAATTTTAGATAATTTTTGAGTATTCCACCTTGGTTCCGGGCTAATTTCAATAAAGCGATGCTAACGCAGTGTCCCAGGGAACTCGTTCTTCTTCTCAATCTGTTCGATTGAAGCTAGCTATAAAGTGCACTTTTCCTATGCTTTGTTTACTATTGAGGCTCGAGAGACCTCAACAACTTGATCCTATTGTTAAACTTCAAAGGTCGGAGAAAGACATTACAAATGGATATGAGTACTTTGCAAGTGCAAAAATGTCCCAGAGGAAGGAAAATACGAGTTAAGGCGAGGGTATGACACACCTTTATGTAAGAGAAAGATGCATCTGAGTTCATAGTATTGCTAATAATGTCAATCCGTCTTTCTTTAGATAGTTGAGAGACAAACATGATCTATTTAGATCATCTCTAATTCTTCACTAACTTTTTCATCCGATTTAATTTTAAATTTGAGTACAAAATTTAATTTGATATGAGTTACTCCTTTTTTTTTTTTTTTTTTCTTTTTTTTTTTTTGAATGCGGAAGAACCAACTATATTGAAAAGGGTAAAAGAGATAACAAAGCAATAGGAGGGGAAAATACCCAATTACAAGGAAGACACCTCCCTAAACAAGCTTGTGCTATCTAGTGAGCCATCCCATTAGCTTTCTTAGCTTCCGTTTGGAAAGTGGGTTAGTTTTTTGGCTTTTTAATTTTTTTTGACTATTTTAACCTAGGACTAAAAAGCTTTATTTGGGAAGAACTTTTTGACTTTTTGATGAGGTGTCTTCCTGTTCATTTACCAAAGTGCCCTTGTTATTGTTGTTGTTGTTGTTGTTGTTGTTGTTTTTTTTTTTTTTTTTTTTTTTGTTTCGATTTGGGTATTCTGCTTAAATTTTTTTATTTTTTTTTTTTTTATTTTGGGTTTTATTTTGGCGTATTTTGGTAAAATATTTATTTTTTTATTTTGGGTTTGGATTTGCCATATTTTGCTTTATTTTTTTATTTTTTTTAAATTTATGTTTTGGTCATTTTTATTTTTTTATACATTAATTAGTTCTTGTTTTTTAATTTATGTTTTTTGTCTTATTTATTTTTATTGGTATACAATAACATTTTTTTTATTTATTGTTTCATTTATTTGTAAATTACATGGCGAATGGTAATTTATGTTTTTATGTATTTTTTTATATATTTTTGAATGAGGCGTATTTTTCTCGATATTTTTTTTTTAATTTACATTTTTGTTATTTTTTAATTCATACACATTAATTTGTTTTTATATTTCAAAAATGGGTTTTCACGTGTTTTATTTATTTATAAATTACATGGCAAATGGTAATTTCTGTTTTTTTTTAATCTTTTTGGATGGGCGTATTTTTGTCGTTCGTTTTTTTTTTTTCAATTTACGTTTTTGTAATTTTTTAATTCGCACTAGATATTTTTGAATGAGGCGTATTTTATTTAAAATAATTTATGTATTTTAAGTTTTTTTTTGCAAATGATTTTTTCATGTGTTTTTTATTTTTATTTTCATTTTCTGTGAAATGATAAAAAGTGAGGTTTTATTTTATTGTCCTGTGTAATTTAAATAATTTAATTTTAATTTATTTTAACAAAAAAATTTAAATAATTTAAATATTCAAAAAATTATTTTAACAAAAAAATTTAAATAATTTAAATATTCAAAAAATTATTTTAACAAAAAAATTTAAATAATTTAAATATTCAAAAAATTATTTTAACAAAAAAATTTAAATAATTTAAATATTCAAAAAATTATTTTAACAAAAAAATTTAAATAATTTAAATATTCAAAAAATTTAAATAATTTAAAATGTTAATATTTTAAATATTAACATTTTAAATTTAAAAACAACTCTACACTCAAATCGTAACCAAACACATAAAATAAAACTCAATTAATAAATTATTTTTAAAACTCATAACAAAACACATAACTTGAAACTCCATACTACTTTCAGAAGTCTACACTGAAATCATAACCAAATACATAACAAAAAAATTAAAATATTTAAAACTTTTTTTTTTTAGATGAGGCGTATTTTTGTCATTCTTTTTTTAAAATTTTTCTCTACACACTAATTTATACAATTTGTTAATACGTATTTTTTCATAAAAAATCAAAAAGTTAACCCAAATATTCATATATATTTTTTCAATTTTGTAGTAAAAAAAGATAAAAAGTATACTTATTTAGGACACCCTAAACAATCTCTTAATATAATATTTTATTTTATTGAATTAAAACATTTATTTTTATTCTTTTATGATTATTTTAGGGGGGAAAAAAAACCCAAAATCCTTCCATGTCAAAAAATAGTGACAGTGGGTCAGTACCCCAAAAGTCACGCTGAGGGAACAATGCCAAGAATAGCTTCTTCTCTTTTCAGGGTATTTTGGTAAATTAACCCAACAAGGGATTGAACTCAACATATTGATTTCTGTTTTGTCTGGACGTGACTAAATAAGCCTAATTTATCCAGACGTGACTAAAATAGCCTCAGTTTTGCTTCCCAAACGGTACCTTAGAACACCATGAAAAAGATAGAGGAGTGTGCCTAGCCATATCTGCAATAATAGAGCTACACTCCCAAGGTGGTGCATCCTCGGGGACACACAATTGGATAACCTGCTTGTTATCTGCTTTAATTTCCACCATGGTCACATTCAGAGAGGAAACCATAAGACACGCAAGTCTAACGACCAAAGCCTCTCATTGGGTTGTTGAAGAAACAGCTACCACACGAACCATACCATCCACAAGGCTTCCATGGGTATCTTGCAGGACCAGTGCAAAGCTCCTCTAGAAGACCTCGGATTAATCGCCACGTCACAATTAATTTTAAACAAACCAGAAACTGGAGGCTCCACCTAGAAGACTCCTCACCCCTATGTCCAGAATTAGCACTGAAAGGAGGTAATGACAACTGGGCTGCACTGAATTCCGCCTCATCTCTATGCTCCTTAGCTACCACACACATTGGGTCCACAGAGATCTGGTTGAAAATAAAATCATTCCTTGCCTTCCATATATTCCAACAGAGCTACGCAACCGGACAGAGCATCAATTTACAAAGCTCAACATCCTTGATGCATTCTTGAATCTCGCTAAACCATTTCTGAAAAGAATGAATTTGATGAAATTCAATACGAACGCCCAAACCACTCCCAAACCAAGCTGCTTTAGTCCATGCACACCCAAACAATAAATGCTTCATAGACTCTGAACATTGTGAACAAATTTGACATTTATCTGTCGCAGAGCACCGCCGAGAGTAGAGATTTTGTTTGGTTGCCAAGAGTTTATTGCAAACACGCCGAAGGAAATGCCTTAGTTTTGGTGGAATGTTAAGACTCGCAAATAAATTTCCAGTCTTGGTCTGACCATTTAAAAGATGAAGAAGGTAGAGCTTGAAGAGGGGTAGCGCCCTGATTCCGAGCACATTGATACCTAGATTTAATAGTGTAGGCTTTCTTAGGATTGAAGTGTTACACCAATTGATCATCGTTGTCTTCTACAGAAACATGAATTGTGAAGATAGCCTCGCTTTCTGCTTTGGAGACTAAATTCCTTTCAAATGGTCCCAATCTTTCAAGGAGGGGTCAACAACATTGCTAACGCGGGCAATCGAATTACCCACAGCCCTTCTAGATGCAATCTTAAAATCAGGAGCTATCGGTAGCCATTTGTCATCTCAGAAATGAATCAAATTGCCATTGTGGACTTGCCACCTCAACCCATCATTTAACACCTTTCGACGCTGAAGAATGCTCGT